TCATGCATACATAGCGACTTGTATATAGCAACACATCTCCAGAAAAACAAACTTCTGTGTATCATAATTGAAAGATGACATTGGAGACATACGGGAGTTAGGCATGAGCTTACTCTTCCTCAGAAGGCACTATAGGATATTTGAGACAATGTGCTCATTGTCAATGCTGACCATCAGGACTGCTCTATGATTTCATTATGAGCCATGAAGCACATGCTGCAATTCCTGTCCTGCTTCCTGCGGTAGAAGCATGGGATGCATTATCTATGGTTTTCAGAATGTCATTAATTGCAGATTTGGTGGCTCACATGGCAGTAATAGGACAGCACTACCAAGGCTTCTGTGTTTACATCAGAGGTTGGCTCTCAGTTTGTTCTCCTCTGCTGCTGAGCTCGTTTCCTGCCTGTTAGCAGCTCTGGGCCCCTCTCCCATGCCTTAAGCCAGCATACCAGGTACACAGCTGCTGGCCTGCTCCCCCAGCCTCCTGCAGCTGCTCCGGCACCAGGGTCCCAGAGCAGGAAGGATGCTGCAGGCCTGTGGTGCTGTTTGTACTGTGCTTTTCCAGACACGTGTTGCTCTGCGTAAAGTTGCTACCTACGCTTGGTCTCAAATGGAAACCAAATCCTTTTCACGGAGTCTTGAGGACTCTGCCTGGGGCTTTTGGTCTGGAAAGTGGCAGAGATGATTTCAAAGGGATTGAGTGAGGTCACTGACTATGGGGGCCGTGCACACAGCAGGTGAGTGTCACCCTGGGTTAGCTGGTATGCCTGTGTCGTCCCTCCTGGCACCCAGCGTGTGGGCTCCCCTGTGTGCAGGGTGAAGGAATCTTAGAAGTTTGTGGTATTTGGCAATAGGGTTTGTGGTAAAAAAAGGAGCCAGAGGGACTCCAGTTTACCTTAAGCCCTATAAACATAGATGTTTATAGCATTTAAATCACTTGAAATAATAGCTAATTGTCCAAGCACGGTATGGGTAACAAGACAGAGAGCAAAGTTTTCCTGGGAGGAGTTTGTGCATGTTTTCCATTAGCAGTCAGACAAGGGCCAGGGCAGAGAAAAAGGCATGAGAACAGCCTTTTACCATGACCTCACTAACAAATTTCCCAGCTCTGAGCTCAGTTCTGTTGCATGACTGAACAAGTGGAGAAAACACAACTGGTTCCAGGATACTGTTTGCTTTACCGGTATCTTATTTTTATTTTATAGCAAGTGGAATAAGGGCTCTTGGGTTGTAAAAGCCCCAGATGGAAATATAGGCTAGACACATATTTATGGTCTGTGGGCAGAGACAACAGCCTTGGGGCATGTTATAGCTGCTGTATGGACGCTTCATATGCGGTCAGTGGGTCCCACGCGCTCCAGATGCATCCAGCTTGTGGTGCATTTGTATCAGGGTTAATGAATGATGGGAGTGCTGGGCTCTGTCTGCAGAGTCAGCTGGCATGTGTGTGTCTGTTTGTTCAGGCATTTCCAGAGTCTGGAGATCCTACATCAGTCTCTGGCTTTTTTTTTCCTTTCTTTCTGCCTCATCAAATCTTCCAAACAGGAGAAAGAAGACAGGCAGGAGAGAAGCCCCCACAAAGTGAAGAAACTTGGGTGCGGTTCTGTGACCCTTCTCTACACAAATCTTGATTCTTGGGTGAGAAAGGAGCTTGCTTCTTCTGTGAAGTCTGGGGTTTCCTGAGGTGTAGCCTTTGACAAGAGCGGTCTGAGGTATTCCCCGCTGCTCACCTAATTGTGCTGGCAAAGCAAAGAAGGCCCTGTGTTGTGGTGTGGGAGAGGAAATGAGGTGCAGGGGAGGGTGAGAGCACCTTAAACCAATGTCGACACCACAGACTTTACCTTGCGAAACCAGGGTGTTCCTCATGCACGTATGTGCCGTATGTGCCGTGGTTGATGACAGCAGCCAGTTAGTGAGTGCTGAAAGGGACTGAAAGGAGGGACTGGGATCTGCACTCCTCCTGGCTGCTTGGGCAGCCAGTGCCTCACTCTGGTTTGCATGGGTGTGGGACTGGGAGCAGTGTCTTGGGCCATGGGATCGTTGGCTATGACTAACTGAAAACCACAAAAGCATCTGTTAACTCTTAAAAACAGAGACTTGCAGAATTAAGATAAATGACAGCCTTACAAACTTTGTGGCAATTGCAGAAGAAATTATAGGTTTCAACATATATATATAGCCAGGCAAGTGGTTTCTGTGTGTTTGGGCTGTAGATGTATGAAAAGGAAGGCTTTAGCCTGGCCAAACTGAATTCCCTACGTGGGGAATTCATTTAAGGTCAGCAGCTGTATACCCCAAAGCTGTTTGTCTGTAATCATTAAGCACATATATAGGAAGCTGTCCAGGCAGATGTATCACTTACTCTCCTTCCTACGCTGTCTGCTTTTTGGTTTTGATATTACTAAAAGCTTCAGTAAGAAGTGGTTTTTATCGTGTCAGATGTTACAAGTTGTCTGTGCCAGTTTCCAAGTTGGAGTGTGGGTTTGCATGGCTGGTGTCATTCCAAGAACTGGAAGGAGGAAATATACCAGGGCTGGAAATTCCTGGTGAATGCAAGAAGCTGTGAAACCTCCCACGGGATGATCTGTGACAGTGCAACAGGCTGACAGCCTTGTCTGACTTCTTGGTGAAGCATAAAAAGGCCGTGTGGAGCTGCAGATGCTTTCCCTGATTACTAATGAGAGAAAGTCCTAACCGCTTGGCTGGTTTTCCTCACAGGATGAATGCTCAGAGTTGTTGGCAAGGTGTTTTTTTTGGTTTGGGGTTTTTTTTTTCTTTTTCTCCCCCTCCCGATCCGAATATCTTCATTTGTTTGAAAGTATCCCTTTTCTTGGTAAAATGCTAATTTCAACAGTAAATGCTTATCTGGGAAAGGGTCCAAGATCGAGGGCAGATTTGACACAGAGCAGTTGAATGCCGAATCCTGTGTGGGTCGATGATGAGATGTCACCTGCAAGGTGGGAGGCACAGCCAGGTAGTCTCTGCTCTAACTATATCAGTATTTGTGCAGAGTGGATCATGACCAGCAGGTGAAGTGGAGTCACCCCACAGTAGCTGGCACCAGGGTGGCTGGCCCTGTTTTCTGTGATGTGGGCTACAGCAGGGCAGCAGCATGTTTCTAACATCCATAGGTGGGTGTCTGAGCCATGGGGCCATTGGCAGCTTTTCTTTTTTTCTTTTTTTTTTTTTTTTTAAAGGGAGATGAAACCACTTGTATTGAAAGGTTTGAACGTCATTCAGATGTGGGATGGGAACATATTTGTGGAGGGGCGAAGCAGATCCGCTCAGGCCTGGTCACACCCAGTAGTTAGGAAGATGAAAGGTGCTGGTCTGCAATTCAGGTCTGTAATGTGAAGCACAACCCAGCTAATATGCAGTCTGTGGACCCATGCAGATGAGTTTTTTCTCATTTACAGCCTTTCAGAGAATTTCCATGCAAAGCTACTCGACTGTAGTGTAACCATTCAAAGCAAAACACACACCGCCTTCCTTACAGGCCTGCAGGTATACATCGCTCCGCTATTAGAAGGGGCAGTGAGTTGTACTGGGGTGAAGTGATAGTGATGCTGAAAAAACAGGCAAAATGAAGGACTTGTTGAGCAATAGAAGGGCTTATACAAACAGGCTACTTTTGTGGGTCAACCATCAAGTAAACCCAGTTGCTTTGGAAACAATCTCTGTTTCATTTAGAGCTGTAACTGGAGGAGAGCTGACAGCTTCAAAGTCACACTTTTGTCTGGAAAGTTTGTATGGGATCACATCTCGTTGGTAGCAAACAACACAGACTGATGCAGACTGAAACTGTGGATGTTCCCACGCTGTGCATATTTATGGTTCTTCATGTACATTTGTCTTTTAAATAGGGAGATAGAGATGTACTTAGTTTAACACTTAGTTTTAGTATATTGAAGTGCTTTCTCACAGACTGCTTTGCAGATTTGCAGTTTTGATGGTTTTATGGTTTTGATTTATTGGGTCTTTTCCTGCTCCAGCTTTTTGTTGGTTTGTTTGTTTGTTTGTTTGTTTGGTGTGGCTTGTTAAATTTTATAATTTCTCTCAGGTATTTCATTTTCATGTGTGTGTCCTACTCCTTGGAAAAGATGCACAAATGTAGAGGCTAAATGATTCTTGAGTTAGAAAAAGTATGTTGCAAATATCAGAAATAAAAGGGCTGCTAGAGGAATGTGAGATTTTGGGGTTTAGTTCTCCTTGAATTCCCTGTACATGAGAAACCTGTGCTATGTTTCTCTCAGTCTGCTAGAGGAGGGGGAAGTTACAGATGTCCTGCAGGTTATACATACAAAATAGAGTATTACAGTTGAAGATCACCATACTGAGCAATTCAAAATTGCATTGTAATCCATCATTCTGGACACTGGACAGTAAAATCCCCATTTTATTTCTTTCAGCAGCACTGTGGTAATTCAGTGATTATATGAAAAAATAAAGGAATCCAAACAGTGGTCTTGCACTTGAAGAACATGATACTGAGAAATTTTCCTTGGGGCGCTCACTGGGGCTTACAGTCAGAGAAATACAAAACTGCCCTCAAAGCCTTTTGTTTAGCTTGTGTTTATTATTTTCCTCTTATCTGTGGGTTGTATTTTTTTTTGTTTTCTTGGGTTTTCTTTTGCTTTTTATTGACAGGAAGAAAAAGGATGAATAATGGTTCTTGGAAGCAGAAAACAGGCTGTTTGATTATCATTGCTGGGAATGCTGTGTAGCAAAACTGTGGGTGAGGGAGTAGGTGGTTCTACTTCTGCTTGTCTTGCAATTCCTAAATATGATCACAAACAGCTGAGTTTGTGTCAGGCTTGCAACTCTGCTTGTAACTACACCCACCTCAGTTTGAGGTGCACTGTTTATGATCAGTTGGTTTAAAAGACATTTCTGGGAGGCATATTTGAGGTTATTCACATCCTGAGTGGCTGCTTTTGCCTGCTGAAATGTGTGTAAGTGTGCTTTTGTCTATGCTTATGATCTATTTGCCTTGTTTCTAGGGCTCATCACAATAAAAGAAGCCCATGATATAGAAGCCAGACTTAATGAAGTGGAAAAGCTTCTGAAGACTATTATAAACATGCCCTGGAAGGTGAGCAAGCCAAATTCCAGTTTAGCCCAGCTTGACTCCTCCTTATGGTGACGTGCACTCTCATGCAGATTAGAAAGTGGTGGGCTTTGCCAAACTCTGAAAGAAACAGCAATTTATTGAGTATCTTGGAGAAATGCTGAGGGCCAGAACTGTGTACGATGCCTCCAAGCTGTTGCCTGTAATAAGTCTTTCTGTCATACTACAAAGGGGTGGAGAGGGAGAAGGGGAATGAAGCAAACCACTGGTAAAAAATTATATCTGTTATTTTTCTCTCTCTTTTTAAGTATTCAAGGTCTGAAGTTGTCCTCACATTCTTTGAGAGATCTCCTTTGGACCAAGTTCTGAAAAATGACAATGTCCATAAAATTCAGCCAAATTTTCAAAGTCCAGTTAAAATATCAGGTAAGAGTTGTTAGCTTCCTGCAGTTGACACAAGAATTACAGAATAAAAATTACTTTATTTGCTGCTCCCCTTATTCTTTCTCTATCAGCAATTAAAAGATAGTTCTCAGTAGTCTGCTTTATTATATAGAACATATAATTAGCCTTGAGATACTATGCAAGGTGTTCAGGTGATAGAGTGGCAGGTGAAATGGAGGCTGATGAATGCAAATAAGTGGATGTGAGGAAAATGCAGTCCTTACTGCATATTGTCACTTATGATAGTGCTTTTACCACTTAAAAAGAAGATTTTGAGGCTATTGATACAGTTCTATGAAAATGTAAGCTTAGTGCCAAGCGATGAACAAAGCCAGCAGTGAGAATATTGGATGTTATTAGGAAAGGAGGCAAAAACAGAGGAGAGGAGCACAACCCCATCTTGAAAACACTGTGCACAATTTTTGTCTCTCCATCTCAGAAAGGATATAATAGAATTTAAAATTACACAAATAAAGGACAAGGACTCAAGCTGTTGAACAGCTTCTCTAAGAAAGAGGTTAAATAAAGAAAAACACTTCACCTATGAGAAGAGGCGAGAGTGGGGGTGTGATGGAAATCTACAGAGCTGTGAATAGAAGGAGGTCAGTACCCTGTACTTCTCTTGAAACAAGAGCTATAGGTTATCCAATATCATTGACAGACAACAGGCTTTAAGCAAACAAAAGAAAGGTTATAATATTGTTTTGTTTTCATACAGAACATAGTTGATGAGTGCAACTCATTGTCATAGGATATGGTGGAACTGAAAGCATAAGTGACTTCAAAAAGGAATTAGACAAGCAAGTGGAGGAAAAGTACATTGAAACCTGTCACAGGTGGAGACACAGGAAGTTCCTAAACCACAGATTGCTAGTGGGGATTGTGGAGAGCAGTATTACTCTATCCTTGCCTATTCTTTTAACCTTTTCCCTCTTCGTCTGCTACTGACCATTGTTAAAAGGTTTGCGAACTTCTGGTGTGCCTGGTTTTGTATTTCCATACTGAAACATTTTGTTTGTGCCTAATGTCAACTGCTGGGTGTGTGTCACAAGAAGAACTTATTCGGAGAGCTAGTTGAAGTGAAATACTACATAGTCCTCCAAAACGTGTAAACCATTTAGCAAGAAACTGATATCAGTTTTCTTTGGTGCTAATGATGTATCTGTTAATGGCCAGTCAACATGCTAAAAGGTGTAAACAGTGTGCCTTCAAGGTTGTTCTTACACACAGAGTAAACTATTTGTAATTGATCCTTAGCTCTGGTTCTAAGTGAATTAGTCCTCTGTTAAATAAATATCTTTTTAATTAAATGGAAGATGGTTTGAAAGCCCATTAATAACTCTTTAGAAGAATAGTGTGTAATACAGAGACTCAGTGAGAAGCACGATCTTGCCAGCCAGTTTGGTCTCGTGCCTTCTCGCTGAGACACCCAAGCCCAGGCTGTGGGGCAGCTCAGGGATTGTAAAGAGCACCCCCAGGGATATACTGCAAAGTGGGGTGACGCAAGTCTGGCTTTCTGGGAGCAAGAAATGGGAGCCAACATGCTTATCTCGCTCCCCACTTGTGGCTAGGGAGGTTTGGATGATGCCTTGAATTGATGTAGAAACCTGAAATAAAATTCCTCATGTGTATGTTTTTCCAAAGGCTGACCACGGTTACTCTCTTTGCTCCTGAACGTCAGGTCATGTTCTCAGCACTGACCCTTGAGAGCATATTAATGGGTTTTGCCTGAAGTATGTTGCTACTCAGTGAGACCAGAGCTGCAAAGTGGGTCCTAGATCCTGCCCATTATGAAGTGAAGGAAAGCCAAACTAAATGCTATAAAAATGTTCCAGAGGGTGGCTGCTGTCAATAATACCTTGCTGTTGTTGCAAACAGCAAATATCAAGAATAAATGTATTTGGAATTACATAGGTTAGAGGCTGAAGCATTTCTCTGGTTTGAGCTTTTTGCTGTTTGGAAGGGTTTCATATACCTCTTGGGAAGGCATGCACCCCCTCAGGGCACATGTACTCTGTGTGTGTGTGACTGAATATGGCACACAGTGGATACAACACAGAGAAGACAGTCAAGATGAAGCCAAATTCAGAGCAAGGGTGCCTGTCGGATGGACAGAGGCTAGCAGCAAAGGGAGCCCTCCTACAGCTCCTGTATGTAGAGGAGCTATGGAAACCATGTTATCTGAATAACAGCAGGTTTTGTCATACCTAATTAATTAGAGGAAAATTCTCCTACCCATGTAGCTATCCAAAAGCATCTTGTGTTTATTAGTTTTATCGTTGGAGTGATTGCTGCAAAGAATGTAAGAATATAGGTGGAAGTTTGCTGTTAATTGGTATTTACCTTGTCTGTATGTTGCACGCTGGGAATGGTTCGGTGTCTGGCAGCATTGTCAGTAGATGGCAGTAAATGATAATGTGTAAAGCAGTGAAATGCTGTAACTCTTAGGTCATGTCAAGGACACTAGGAAAACACTGGCATTTGTGTTAATCGTAGTGCAGCAGCTTTCTACGTGGCTTGCAGTCTCAGAAAAGCAGGCAAAAGTATATTCTCTGAAAAAACCAAATTGTCCCCCAGATGGTCCTTCTCACAGTGGTAGGTGATGGGAAAGAGAGAAGGGACCGCCCTTTTAGACTCTTAGATGAAAGCTGAATTTGAATTTATGGTATAAATCTTATTCTGCAGTACAATGTTTGCTCAAGATAAGTAATGTGAAGTGTGATTCTGCTGGGACTCACTGTTTTTACAACCCCCAAACATATTCTGCTGAAGTGGGTTGCAGTAAAATACAGACTGAAAGTCGAAGATGACTCTCAAGAAAAATATGGAAGTGAGTTCTGACTTTACCTTAGGACCATGTAAATGTTAAAAAATTACCTTCTTTCTCCTATCTCATCTCCTGTTCATTACTTGAACTGTATATATAGCTGAAATTTGTTTGTGTGTTTTCTGCCTACCATATTTTCTGCCACAGGCTAATTTCCTTTTGTTGTGCTCAGAATGAAAGGCTGTAACACAGGGCCATTGTACCTTGAGGCAGATGAAGAGTTATCCTACTTAAGTCAGTGCTGATTTTTTAAAAGATGTATATTTGTTTTCTGACGTTTCTAGCTTAATCTAAGATTGTGTGGCCAAAAGAAATCCTTGTGACTTGCCTAGTTTGACTTTCCGTACAGCACAGATGTGGATTAACTTCTCATTCACATCAAATACTATTCTAATTATAAATTCTCCCCATGGTAGTAAGTTGGTGGAACTAGGTGTAAATTTTAGATATTCTGTATTGGAGGCTTCTTAAACAGTGAGAAAAATAAGCAGGGTTAAGGACAGTGTAAAACATGGTATTACTTTACATGACTTAAAATTGGTGGGTGAATTAACTTGGAAAGCCACTTTTTATTTCCCTTTTTCTGTCTTTTTATTTTTCTTTAACTGGCTTAAGCCTGGGACTGACAAGGAAAAATACAATTGTGTTTTGGTAGTGCTAGTTGTTTCAGATGCTCTGTGTCATGAATTGATTAGGTGAATAAAATTGCCTGAGCACTGGCAGTTTGCAGATGTAAGAAGCTACAAAACCAACTCTTCATTCCTGCTTTCATGTGCAGATTTTCAGTGTCATGCACACGTCTCAGTTCATAGCCATGTCAATTACATACGATACGCAGTTGGTTTTCAGCTTTTTTTTTCATCTTGTTTTCTTTCTTCTCCCAACAGAAATCATGCGATCAAATGGATTTTGTTTAGCCAACACTGAAACAATAGTCATTGACCACAGTATACCTAATGGAAAAGAGAAGCACCTGGATGTAGATTCAGCAGAACATTTGTAAGTGGGGTTTGAGCATGACCAGTGCCGTCACCTTTGGGTAAACTGTAGCTTTCCCTACCCCCTAGCAAAATGTTGTTGTCTGTCTGAGAGCAAGACTGGTACAGCTGTCATTCTGACTGGCTAAAGATTACTGAGCCTGATTGCTAGCACTTCACAGCGATTTCTTGTTAAAAGGGATAAAATGGCAGAATGATTGATGCCAAGGAGCTCAGTCCTCTGTATGAAAAAAGAACTGTGGTTGTCATAGGGATCCTGCCAGGTGAGAATAGAGTTTTTTCTTTCTCTCATGACTGTGATGAGAGCTTCTTTGAGCCCAAATCTGGAAACACAAACATCCTTACAGATGGTATATCCTACTACGAAGGGTAGTAGGATGTTTGGGATGCAAAATACCATCCTCAGAGGGGAAGACGCTGCTGAACATAATTGAACAAAGGTCAGCTGGGACTTGGTGGAGCATGTGGATTTCATTAGGGAAAAGGGAATTTGGAGTTTTATTGGTAAATTCTGCTCCTAATGCTTGGAGGTATTCTGGGGTCAGAGACCTGTAACCAGTAGAGCTTTTATGGCCATAAACCAAAGCACAAGAAGTTCAACCTCAACACGAAGAAGAACTTACATTGAGGAGAGCAGAGCACTGGAACAAGCTGCCTAGGGAGGTCGAGGATTCTCCCTCTCTAGAGACATTCCAAACCCACCTAGACGCATTCCTGTGTCACCTGCCCTCGGTGACCCCACCTTGGTAGAGGGGTTGACCTAGATGATCTCCAGAGGTACCTGCCAACCCTAACGATTCTGTGATTCATGTAGGTCTTAAGTCAGTGACTTAATGGGTATTGATGGAAATCTGCACAGATTTCTGTCATAGCAGGTGATTGATGTTTTAAATGAACTAAAGGTAGTGAAGCGTTTAAATATTTTTGATGAGAAACATTACCTGCTTTTTCATTAGACCAGTCAAAATGATGGAAACAGAATACTAAAAGCCTTATGGATCCTTTATCTTTGAAAGCAGTGATCTGTCTTGCCACATTTGAAATGTGGTAATTGACAATCTGTAGCAAGACAAGATTTTTTTCAGAAGCTGGAGTGTATCTCTGGCTACAGTGTCACTTCTTGAAGTCTTTTTATTAACTTATCACTAAGTGTTTTGAACCTTGACCTTGCTAACAGCATTTAAGCTTATAAGCTTGTATTAATGAGACTGAAATGGCACACTAGAGGTAATTCTGTAAGGCCATTGTCTGGAAATTAAAGTTGATATACTTCTCAGTAGATCACTCTTTAATACTGAGAGTGACAAATAATAAGAGCAAATTACCAAAGGAAGCCTTTTCCTTTCTTATTTTGATTATTTAAAAAAATTTGATTAAAAAATGCTTATAAACTAGTTTTGTTTTGAAAAATGTGCTGCAGCCCAAGCAAAACTTGCTGACCTGAGATCAGAAACTGCCATCATCTAACTGTCATCCCATTGAAGTCAGAGACTATTAAGGCCAGAAAATACTAATATGATAAAAACTATGTTGTGGGCATGGTTTCCCAGAAACTGTGGTGGAAGCAATAAATCTAGGGTAACAGCCTGACTTTGTGCATTTGTGCTTTAACTTCCCGAAGGATGTGAAGTCAAAAGGCAAGAAGTTAGTAAATTTCAAATGTGTGTTTTATATGGTGGCCTAAATTTTCTCATTCTGTAGCTGTATTTTATAGTCGAGAGGTAATAGCAAGGAGATAATGGCCCCAGTGTAGCACAGCTGTTTTGTTAAAAATTGAACTTTTTTTTTTTAAAAGCAGAAATTTTCTATAGTAATAAGACAAGGCAAAATGGCCTTAAGCTGAAGGAGGGTGGATTTAGATTAGATATTAGAAAGAAGTTCTTTACTGTAAGGGTGGTGAGGCACTGGAACAGTTTGCCCAGCTTGTGGACTCCCCATCCGTGGAGGCATTCAGGACCAGAGTGGATGGGGCTCTGTGTAACCTGGTCTAGTGGAAGGTATCCCTGCCCATGGGAGGCAGCTTTCCAGGCATTCTTCCTCTAATGCATTAACAGAAGTTAAAATGGTAAAGAAGTGTGTCTTACAGCACAAGAAGTAGGCTCTTGTGAAAGACAGTGTGTGTGTCAAGGTACTTTGTGGAAAAAATAGCAAGGGCAGGAGTTTGGGCATTTAGGAATCTACAGGTCCATGGTAGCTTGCAGAGTTTATTTTGAGAAAAAGACCTGTTGGTAACAGCACAAAAGTATTTTGACTGTTGAGTGCCCTATAAACTGCTAACTGTAGTAAACAGTCCTGATTCATTGGGTTTGGTTTTGTATGAGCACTCTAGAGTGGTGCTTTGCAGACTTCTGTGCGCACACTTCCTTTTTGGTGGCAAGGAAAGCTTTCTACTTAACCACAGCATCTGAATGCCACTGCTTTGTACCTCACATTCCGGTTGTAGTAACCTATCAGTGATTCTGAAAAACCAAAAAATCTGTGGGACCTTTCAGTTGTAATAATCTAGTTTTATATTATTGACAAGAGAAAGAGAGCAGAATCTAAGTAGCCTTCTTGACTCCTCTTACGCTTTCTTCATTCTGTCTGCCCCACTGGTATTTCATAATCTGTTGTTTCTGGAACACTAGCAGTGCATAAGATAGCACAACGTGATCTGTGAAGTATTTGCAAGATACCGAGTCAACTTCCTTCTGCACATGTTCCCACACATGCAGGGAAGCAAATAGCCTGGAGGGAGTGGAGGAATGAGGGTAATAAACATTCAAAGTTCAGTCTCATTTCTATTTCATTTAAAGCAAAGAGCATAGCAACAGCGCTGCAGGAGAAAATCTACAAATTTCTGCTCAAAAAAATGTTGTGGTTCTCATAGTTAAAAAAAAAGAGATGAGAAGGACCAGTCAGGAGTATGGAAAAGACAGAACTATGGCCATACATTGCAGGATGTGTAGACCAGGCTATCCAATAACTTATGATGCTTCAGGAAGAGATGGGAGTGGGAGATATATCTGTTTATTTATCCTACCACTCTTCTTCAGGTCCTCTGAAATACCTGACTCTTAGGTCACCCTCTAGGGTGACTTTGCTTCACTTACCTAAGCAACTCTTAGGTAAGAGTCTAACTAGTTTGTGTGCTAGTGAGATGCAGTTTTAAACATTAATTCTTTTAAAGCTCCTCTGTTTATCTGCCATTCAGAGAGCTGAAGTAGACCAGCCTAAAAAGGTGTTAGAATACATGCTATAGGCAGAGCTAGGTTAGGATTTCTTTTTCCATCTTGTGCAGTTTTTCAGTTTCTATTTTGTTTTATTTCTCACTCTATCAGAGTGAATGAAAGTTCTTTCCAAATATTAAAGGCAGTGTGAGAAAAATAAGCTTGACAGTTCTTCAAATCCCTTTCTAAAACAGATGAAATTTAATCCTTGGCCTGCAGTGACTGCCTTTAACTGTTAGGCTATCAAGGAAGAAGATAATGTTTCTTATTGCAGAAATTCAAGCCTCGTTGGAATGGAAATGTGTATAATTGAGGAAGGTGTAGGCTTTAGCAAGTCGATGCCTTCTGGTTGAGAGTAGGTGTGAGACAGTGGGTAATCCTTGCAAAAGTTCAGGTTATAACACAGGATTTGGGAAGTGGGAAGGAAAATACCCAAACAAATAAAACTAAATTTGAAATCTCTTTATATTTGGGATTTCTCTGCTTGCCAAAATTTAAATTTTGTGCCCCAGGGAGGACAGCAAGGCTCTGGAGAAAGGACACTGTAGTCATATCTTCCTACTCACGTTAGACATTTGGCTTCTTACAAAAGCCAAACCCAAAGAAGGTACATGTGAAGTAAAACGGTGAGAGTCCAAATTCAGATGGGAAACAAAGGCAGTTCCCTTTCCACTTTTGCATAAGAACTGAGACATTTCGTGTTGTTGCCACATGCTGGGGGAAAAAAATAGAAGGATGTGGACTTCAGCTGCATGATTCACTCTTCCAAGGCTCACTTGCTGCTTCTTTCCTTCCTTCCTCACCAGTAGCTTTGAAAGTCAGGGATAACAAGATTATTTGCTTGCATGTACCATGGCTCTCATACTCTTATACACATGGGTGTAAGAGGGAGGAGGAGGAGGTGTGGATGGAATCAGCTCCAAGTACTTCTCCCTCTCCCTTAGTACTGTTCTTCCAATTCCTTTGACTTTGATTTTCTAAATGAACATTAATGACTTAATGCCTTTTGGTGTTTGTTTTTCTTTCATTTCTCCTTAGGTTCGAAAGTGTTAGTGACTTTACCTCAGAGCTAGAAGACAGTGATGATCCAACAGCTTATGTCACCAATTTGACATACTACCACCTGGTTCCATTTGAGACTGACATTCTGGACTGAGACTGCTCAAGGATGCAGTCAGCCAGCATCCAGCCAACCTCTTCATCTATAGGCTCTGCTATCTCTGGCATTGCAACTCTGTGAATAAGGCTGTGCAGACAAGACCAACAGCAGAGAAGCTGCAGCAAGTACACCACAAAGCTGATTTTGTAGTGTGGTCCTCCGTTGTGTATTATGGAGACATCTTGTAAGGAGGTTACTGCTTGGCTGTTGACAACAAACTCGTTTTCTGTGAAAGCAAAGCAGCAGAGGCCTCTTGGGGCTCAAGGAAATCTCTACCATGTCTGTGGGAACTGCCACTCTGATGCAGCCATCAGAAACTTGTGCTGTGGTACTCTGTCAGCCGTGCTCCTCGGCTTGCAGTGCAATTTGAGGCTTCCTCTTTTAGGATACCAGCAGAAACTTCCCCAGATGGCGTGACCACGCTTTTTATGATGTGCAAGCAAGAAGACAAGCAAACCAGCTGAACTTTGTCAGTTCCCTCTGTGGTTGCTTAATGGAGGTCTTGTGGGTCGCTTTTTGCTCAGCTACTGGTTGATTGGTGCCTTACACGAGATGTCAGAAATACCATTGAGTGCCTCCAGGAAACAGAACACATGAGCTGATGGCTTTACTTCTTTTAATCATGGGCTTTTATATAATCACTGAAAAGGTGACTGCTCTTTCCTGGAATAGTAAAGCAGGCAGCAGCTGGCATTGCAATGGACTGTGCATGATGTTTGGGTACCCATACAATTTCAGAACTCTGGAAAACTGATGGGAAAGCTAAGCTGCTCTGCTAAGAAGGGTCAAGGCTATGGCAGGCACTTTGATACAACTTTTTTTTTTTTATGTGGACCAGAATATGTGAACGGTGCTTACAGTTGTTTACATCAGAGAAATAATTCCCTATGCATATTTCTTCCCAGGGTTGGGAAGGAAGACAAAAAGATTTATGTTGTATTTGGACTGAAAAAGCCTGATAAGCTGTATTGTGTCTACAGTGGTAGGAAAAACACTTGTTCCACTGCCAACCAGTCTCAAGGAGTCTGTCTAGCTTTCCAAGATCTGCCTGGAGGGGTCGTGTAATGCCATGGATTTCAGCAGAGATAGGACAGTGGGAGCAAGAGTGGGATTGGACTCTGCAGCCTCTTGACTAGTGTGATGTTAAAGTCTCCTCAGAGTCTTTCTCTAGCAGAGCACTCCGAAGTCCTTGCTCTCACTACGAGTGCTCAACACTTGCCAACATGACCTTTCATTGAGCTTTTTGCAAACTGTTTGCAAATCTGAATTTGAAGGGATTGAAATGGGAAGGGATGCGTTTTGGATGGGTTTCTTGGAAAAGAGGCTTGCTTGGTCCCGAAAAAACTGATACAACTCCCTTCTGCAGACTTTTCATTTCTATCTATAGAATAACAGTCAAACAGAATTTGTTAATGTAAATAATAAATTATTGAGGATCCTAATTCTTTTACACAGTATGTTTTTAAAATATATTTTAATGAAATAAAATAAAACTCACCTTCAGTACACTTCTACTGCTTAAAACAGTGGCTTCATTTTTTTTTTCCTTTTCATTTGAGGGCACTTTCCCAGACATGTCTAATCCTCTTTTTTTTTTCTTATAGTTTTGGAAACAGGATGAATTTTGGCAATTTCTGTGCTCCATGTGCTGCTCATACTGTAGACATGGTGTGTATCCATATGGAACCTTTCTGCCTAGCTGTTGATCTTGTGTCTAGGTGTGTGTGGTTTAACGCCACTTGGTTTAGTGGAGGAATTCTGCATTTTCAAGACCATCAGTGAAATCAAACCTGGCAATTATTTTTTTTTTGAAAATAAAGCAGATTGTAAAGGTAAATTGTAAAGGTAAATTTCTAGAATAGAGATATCACTCATACAAAGGCTTTCTGAGCAACCTCTTGAATTAGAATTGGGAATGGTTTTATTTGTTTATTTGTTTTATTCTCATTAGTTTTAACTCTTCTGTCAGTTCTTCTAGTTAACCATGGTGAAGTAGAAATAGCACCTAGTAGACGTGTGCATTGGAGTGGGTGTTGGACTATTTCATTTCAATTCCTGACCTTGCTGTCAGCCTACCGTGTTTCTTTGGTCTCCCTATCACTGAGTTTTCCTTGAGTAATATTTTGAAAAGCAGCGTCATTGGCTTGTGATGCAGTATTGTCCCCTGATTAATTTGAATTTTTCTATGAATTATTAACCACATGATAACTACTTATCTTTTAAAGCACTTTAAAATGTATGTATTAAAAAATAAATGTATAAGTATTGCTAATTTTTAAAATGTACAACCAAATTCCTCATATGAAAACCAGCTGAATGCCAGAGCCCCGTGAGAGCTGGTGGAAGCAGGGGCTCCCATGGGGCTGTCAGGGCAGAGCTGGGCAGCCAGGGTCTGTCCCACCACCCTGCCAGGAGCAAGGAACCAGGGCAGCCTCAGGCATCAGGGACCTCCCTGAGGATGGGGATGGGCCAAGGACAGGCCAGGACATGGGTCTGCTCTAAGGAGTGTGAAACCAGCCTTGCTGCAGTGTTCCTGGGGCTGGGGGGGCTCACATGGTGACCTGCGCCATGGGCAGGTGTGGGAAACCCAGGGGCTGGTAGGGACAGCCAGACCTGCGGGTGCCCTTGGGGCCCAGATGATGAATGCTCAGGATTTTCGTCCTACATGTTTTGGAATTTTTTTCTTTTTAATTTATTTTTGCCATGTACCCTTATATTCTGGGGACCTGAAATATGGTGCAGAATTCAGTACTTGCTGTGTTGTTGCACCCAAAAAACCCCAAACAAACAAACAAACAAACATCAGTCTTTCATCCTTTAAGAAAAATGTAGCTGAAACAAAATTTCATGGTTTAGATTTCTAAACAAGACCTCTCCCCTGTTCAGGCATTGTAGCAGGCAAAATCCCGCATGCCCAGATCTGCAGAGCCCTGTGAAAAATATCTTGGGACGTGCAAAGTGCTGCCATCCAACTGGGTGATTGGTCTGTGGTTCTTCAGAAACATAACAGTTAACATGTAATTTTTAGAATTATTTATTGTTTAACCTATTGATGACTCTAATGGAAACAAGTGGCACAAGAATTTTATCCCCAAGCTCCTTTCCACAATGCAAAGATACTTCCTATATAAGAGCTGTGTTGTTAAAAAGCTGGTCTGTATTGTCTCTGCAGCTTTGGCTGCTCCCTTTGGCACGCTGCATGGGGGTCACATGTACCAGTCCTGGCTATTAGCTTCGTGAGCAGAACAGAGTTGAAGTATGCTGGTATCTAGTGAAGGAGCAGGAGGTATGTGTCTCTTGGCAGGAACAGTGATGACAAAATCATTCGGTTTTTATTTTTCGAGTCATGAAATATGCTGGCATTATAATGTTGCCAAGTCTTATAAGAGTTAGGGAAGAGAAAGTGTATCACACTATGCTATGTTTTGTCCACTAGTCTGTTATATTTTTGTTACATCAAATACTTTTTAAAAGCTCGGTCTTGGATTCCAAGGCCATTCTTTATAACAGCAATAATCTATAGCTCAGCAACAAACTAAAAAAAAAAAAAAAAAGAAAAAAAAAAAAGAACATTTTCTAGTGGCTTACTATAATAATATCCATTCCTGGTCCAGTCAACTATCTCTGAACTCCCTTTCCCACACATACACAAATTTTCAGGCTATTTTACCTATCATCTTTCATCAATGTAACTGCTTTCATGGAAATGTTCACACCCTGAAGTGCAGTTCCCAAGTTTTATAGCACACAGAGCATTCCCATTTTCAGTACTGTCAGGTAATTTCTTCTAGCTCTAAAACCATTTTCATTTTAATTAACTTTGTTAGTAATACATGCTTTGGGGGATTCAGGTAAGGGCAAAATACCAAGGTAATATACATAATATATCTTGATTCAACAAATGAAGAATTTGCATTTACCTAAAAGTCCATAGCAGTAGTGAAGATATGGAAATTGCTGGGATGCATTTACTATTGAACTGTATGAATTCAAACTTTCTGGACTTTCCCAATCCCTGTTATCATCTCTATATTTCTTACAAATGATGTATATAACCCCACCGTGCCCTGTTGAAAGAAAGAACAACTTGAACTTTGGTGTCACAGAACAGGAGATGGGACTCTAAAAGGTGGCTAAGACAGAATTTTTCAGGGATTAGTTTTTGTCCTGGCAGGACATCTAGCCTTGCACCATAGTAGAGGAGTTGCTACAGACTTGGTTGTTGTTCTTCACTTTAAAGGCTGCTGTTAGGGGAACCTGCCCAGGTAAGTATTTGGAGAAAAGCTCCCTATTCTTTAAAGATACCTTGTCTAACTCTGCAGAGTAGTAAAATTAATTTTCTGTTGTCTTGTGAGGCTACCTACATGTCTGAACTGGAGATCTGGCTGGTATGAGATTGTCTCTCAGCTGCACAAGGGCCCACTACCTCCAGAAAGTACTGGATTACACCTCAGCCCCAGCCTGGGCTGCGGAGATGCCTTCAACACCCATCTTCTAGTCCTCAAATTCTCTTAAACAATTTTTAGAAACTTTTAGATAGAAATGACAGCTGATATACTGGCAAGAAGAAAATCCAAATGTGAACACTGAATTTTGATTAAAAGCATCCCAGCATCCGCTCTGTGTGTGTTTTTCAAGTGAACTTCAAAAAATAAAAGTTATTAACTAAAGTCTTTTACAGCATATATTGGTGCTCCATGTAAAACCTTGCATGTCCCTCTACTACAGCTGTTTCTGACACAACCTGGCAAAAACACTTGGTGGCAATTGCAATGTGTGTGTTTATAGGGCTCTGTGAACCACTGAGACTCCTTTGGCTGTCCTGGCATCTCACAGAAGGCTCTCAGCTCCTTGGAGGCACTTGATCCTGTCTACAAATCTCTTTGCAGTAACCTTAAAATGCCTTCAGTGTTCTGGGGGGCTCCAAGCAACTTTAATAATTTCCATTAGTAAGTTACTTCATTTAGCATTGTAGTTTAGTTTGGAAACCATCTGCAAGTAATTCTTGTTTCACTGTATCACCTTGTACCGGGCAGGCTGGAAATAGAAATAATTACATATACCAGAAGCCAACTTTGTCATGTAAAATGAAAAAAAACAAAAACATCAGCACCACCACCAGCAAAACAACCATTGTCCATTTTTTCCCTTGTCGCCATTAAAATTAAGTTGAACAGATTCCATGACTTTTGAATGAACATGCACTCATTTCAAAAAAGAAATTTCCTGATTTTTGCCAAGTTTCCTTTTGTCTCATTGGAGCTGGCTTTAGCAGTTTAGCACAGTGACACAAGCTACATTCAACCATCTTGAAGTGACCTTCAGATAGAAAAACAACCAGTGGGTGTATGTGGAAGGAGGGGTCAGAAAGCACTGGGATGGCTTGGAAGGAGAGGGACTGATAAATAAGGAAGGATTGCAATGCAAACAGAGTAGATCTCCAGGAATAGTTTCAGTCTTAAAGCTGCAATAATTCATCTTTGTCAGAGTGGAGCTGGGCTTGTGTGCTCATGTATTGGCAGCGTCCAGGTACTGAATCATGCAGATCCTCACCCACCATTCTGCACGGAACAGTATTAGCCCTAGCTGGTTTTGTTGAAAGGAGGAGATGTCTGATCAGGTGCCTTTGCATAAGGTGAATGTGCTGAACTTTTGGAAACAGACATTTTGCAACAACAAAATTTATTATGATTGCTTCCTTAAAGCACCGCTCAGATCATGTAAAGGGTTTAGTAATTCTGTTTCAATTAGTTCTCCATGCACCTTATAGTGTATACTTCATGTCTATATGTGTAGGATTAAAATATGCAGGTGGCTGTTAGTGAAACAGGAGCAAGAATGCCAGTCGAGGGATACAGTAACAAGTACTATAGCAATATATAATGAACCTACAGGACTTCAGCTTAAGATGTCTGAAGCATTTGCATAGAGAACAGACATTATTATTCATAAAGGTACAATGCCAGACAGGATTTTTATGAAGCAAGCAACAGGGCAAAGAATTATACATCTCAATGAGTCAGAAGAGAGTTTGCAGAGCAGTTGCAAGATCCATTAATAGCTGTGAAGGAGGATGGATATCTTTCGGTTTATATCCAGTTAGATGCCCTCACTTGGAAACCTCACCTAACACATTTATTCATCTGAAGAGGGAAATTATGCTCCTTGTACATGGTACTGTTATCATTCTGGTCAGTGAAGCAGCCTCCAACATAACACACATCAAATGGGACTCCAGGCTGCTGTGCTAAAAATACCTGTCCACAGCTTATCACTGCAGTGGAGGGCACAGCAACAAATTAGAAACAGACACCCATAGCACTTCCAAATGTTGAATTCTTGATTAAAGGAGATGTATGTGGCACATATTTGGAAGAACTGTTACTCTGGGAAAATTAAAGCCTGTAGTGAGCTTTCTAGAGCATAGGAATGATTTTCCCAGGTGGGAAATGGAGCTTCCCACCTGGCTGTTGCCACACTTCAGAAAGTGGTGAAATTGAATTTCTGCTTAGATCACGACTCAAGATGTCTCTGCTCTGCACAGTCCTACGTGGTGTTTATCTACCAAGCTATTCCCAAATAACTCACCTCTAAACTGGTGTCAGCACGAGGCTTGTAGCAGGGTCTACTACTCAGTCACCCACCTTAAATCTGCAGTGTGGTCCATGAAATGTAAGGCTTGTTTATGATCTCTCTTTAGAGATCTAAAAATCTCTCTTTAGATCTGGCACAACAATTTAAACCTTTACAATTTCAAGGACCTGAGAGAAAGGATATGACATGCAATAAAAAATACTGATTCCATCAGGCCTCTTCCTGTGACTGTGACATGTTGTCTACTTTTACGTAGTAAATATTAAGCCCTTTCTGAGAGTCTTTTGGACCAGAATTCCAAGTCCTTATTCCATGTAATCTGCAGAGCTGAGGACCATCTTGTAATCCATTTTAATTATTATTATCAATAACCTTTCCCGTATTCTGGATAGATACAGTATGAAATTCCCTGTTCAGAAGCCAAGTTAGGACACTCAAATGCAGGACTAATGCTAAAATTTGAAAGTGACAAAATCACCATGCTTGTTCTCATTTCACCCTGTTAATGCCAGTGCTGCTTAATCTTAGAGATGACACTGGAATCTGATTTAAGATAAATATTTTAGGCAGCTGAGCTAAACATTAACAGACATGAATGTGGCTATGCCAGCTTTTTTTAAGGGACAAATGTTGCAGGGAATTGTGTTTTATTAAGTGCAACTGACATGAAAGGGCTGGGGGGAGAAAACATGAAACTTTCAGGTAGAGAATTCCTTCATAAGCTTTACTATATTCCTAAAATCACTACCAACAATATCAGTTAAAAAAAACCAACCCAAAAAAACAACCAGCCTCCAGGCCTGGTTTTCCATATATTTTTATGCATGCCATTATGGCAAGGCTTTTCTTAAGACAATTTTCACCCTGAACAGTTTAATTATAAGAAGACATATTCTAATTTTTCTTTTTTTCCCCCCTGATGTTTGTGTCAGTGTTTTTCTCTCTGCTTCTCTCTTGTCACTTTACCACTAAGAAAGGAGCAACAAAAGAGAGAGGAAGGCGAGAAGAGGGAAAAACATGTATTTTAAAATGCAGAGCACTGTAAAACTGCATTAGTTTTCTTAAATAGAATCAGGAAAAATGACAAGGTATTTTAATATCAGAGGTGGGGTTTATGTCAATAAAACCTGGTGTTTTGATGACCTGTCTTTCCGAAGTGCTCTCCCTGTTTTGTGGCCCTTGCAGAAGTTCACTTACAGCTCTGAAACATGACTATAGAGCTTAGATTGTCTTTTATTTTTAACATTTTGTGCCTCTACGTGTACCTCAACACACAGTTATCAAAACTGTATTAGCGTTCTTTTTTAAGGCCATTTGATAATTAGTACTGTAGGAGAGAATTTTCTAAAGCATAGTCAGTGGAAGACTACAGGCCATTTCCTTTGTAGCTTGGCATAGTAAAATTGTTGCCAAAATACAGATTTTTTTTTTTCTTTTTTTAAAGGAAGACCTGCTTGCTGAGGCTACAAGCTGGCTACATTGTCATGGGCCTTGTAATGTATTATAGTCACTAGTAAATTTTTGTTACTTCAGAATGAAAAGCTGTTTTCTGCAAGTTTTTAAGTGTGTCTTTACAAGGCTTAGGGATGATATCTGTTGCCCAACCATATACTAGTGTGTTTATACATGTTGAACACAGAGAAGGACTATAATCTTTTCTATAGAAGATTTTCTACAGAAAAGCTCATCTTGTTCCTGCTCTGTAAATGAAGCCTCTTTCTTAACTTGCTAAAGTCAATGGCAAACTTCCAAGTTTTCCCAGCTCCAGTCAGGGCTGTTGCTGACATTTGTTACAGGGAGGGAGGGAGGGAGGAAGGAGCATTCTTTTGTTCTCCAGAGAAAAGTTTAATCCCTTTTTAGAGCAAGAGAGACTGACAGGGAGCAGTTAAGCAACCAGATCAAGGTCATGCACAGAGAATGTGTGTGGTGTACACAGCCACTGAGCCTCCTCTGCTAACACCAGAATAAACTGGAGGTCCCCTTTTTCTTCCTCTCCACATCTCACTCCAAAACCATTCCTCAGGTTTAATCATCGTGAGTTTGAAACTTATTATTATAATATAATACAAATATGAAAATCAGATATGAAAATGAACTGGTCCTTCTTCCAGCCTGTCTGCCATGTAGCAATGAGCCTGAGGCTGCTGCACAGGGGACAGGAAGACAGGAGAGAAGGTGAAGTAAAGTAGGTAGGACAGTGCCCTCACTATGGGTCACAGGCAGAGAGGGCAGAGTCAGTCGGGTGATGAAGACCAGGAGCAGCCTGGAGTCCAACTTGCCAGCTGAGTCCAGTTATGGACTCATAACTGGGAAGTTATGTTACTGGATCAGGGTTTGGATTTGCGAGGGGCAAGGGTGGACACAGGGCCACCTGCAGCATAGCTTGAGCAGGGTCCAAGAGCAAGGGCTTGAGCTTAAAACTCTGGAAGGAGCAGAGGCCCCCAGTAAAGCTTCTCCCAGCTCTGCTCCCAGCAGTCAGGTTTGAGGTCACACAGCTGCACCGTCTCAGAGCTGGCCTTGGGCAATGGCTGTCAGAGCCCTGGGAGGAGGAGAGTCTGCGGGGCCTTACACCAAGAACAAAAAGCTCACCAGAAGGCTGGTGGAGCCAGCTGTTAGCCATATGGACAAGACTGCTGCAGAGATGATTATTCGTGTTTGCGTACTGTAGAAGAAGTTGGGGAGATTCCCTACGCCATTATTTTTAGCAGTGATTCAGCAAATGATAAGCCTAAAATTTGAATTAATTATGAAACAGGTTGAGATACAAATAAAAAAAATGAAAATTAGCTGATTGACAGGGCTGGTACTAATCACCCAAGTGCTCTGGAAAAGCTCAAGGGTAGACTGAAAAATGATCTGCTGAATTTGAGAGATGGATAGTATGATAGCAGATGAAATTCAGAGCAGGTAACTGTAACTCCTGGGTAAAAGTAATCTTGGCTTCACGTATAGTATTCTGAGCTAAGACTTTGTTATTGTAACGTAAGAGTGAAATTGTGGGTTTATAATAGTTCCATGAAACCATCAGCTTAGTGCTCAGTAGCAATGGAATAAAAGATTAAATACTGTTACTTTGTGGAAAGACAACAGAGATAAAAAAGGTGCTGCTTGTTCCCAAGGTTCACTCCCTCCGAGCAGTTCTGATCCTCTCATCTCAAGATGTATTACAGCAGAAGAAATTCTGAAGAAAGGTAATGTGTGTGAGCAAAGGTATGAGATGATCTCTTTCAAGGAACAGTTAAGTAGGCTGAGCTTTATATTGTCGTTTTCCAAGGGTGGATGGATGATATGATAGAGATCTACAAAACTGTGAGTGACATAGGAGGGAGGGGAACAGAGATTGACTGATTGTTATTTCTTCTCACATGAGAACAGGGGCCCATCAAGTGACACCAGTAGGCTCAATGCAAACAGAAGGTGGTTGTTCATGTGGAGTGAACGAGGCTTCTTGTACTGCCTGCCAAAGGATGGTTTGGAAAGGAGCCTGGAAAAGTGTTTGGCATAGAGCTTCTTTGAGCTTTACTGTCCAGATAAACCAGGGAATCCTCTAAGGCTGGGGAGAATATTAGGGTGAAAGTGCCTTCCAGTGATACTTGTTTTTTACCTCATTTACGGGTACTGTTGGAGGCAGAAAACTGAACTAGGTGGACCAAGGTCTGCTCAGGTATGACTCTACCTTTGTTATGATTTTACTCAGGAGCATACCTTTATTTTTTATTTCTGAAGACAAAAATCTAAGTTATTTTTTTGAATTCAAAGTACATCTGTCCTAGGCATGATAAAAGGTTGTCATTTACTCATAAAACAGAGGACTTTGTCTAATGCTAACTGTCCAGTGAGGAAGGTAACCAGCCTGACAGTTAACCCTCCAGCATGAAAATACTGTGGTTTTCTCCTGTCTTGCATTTATGAAGATAAGATGCTGTCTTTCTCTTTGTGTACAACCTTTTTAAAATGTTTATTCCTTTACATCCTTCTGCTTTTGCGTTTTGAGGGAATTTGCCATGAGTGGTTTCCATGGTTACGAGGATATGGCTGCTCTTGGAGTGGGAAATCTGCAGAGAGCTAATACAAAAACCAGTGCATCTGGGACATGGTAAATGTGCTTTGTATCCATAATGGCCATTCTGCCCTAGGTAAAAGCCAATATGAAATTGGAAAAATAGAGGTTATTCTTAACCCCCTTGTCTTACTGTGAAATGTAGCCCTCTCCTTTACAATTAGGTCCTTTTAGATTGCTGAAAGCGCTCTGATTTCTGTGGTCTCTTGAGTATTAAAGGGCAGGAAACAGGCTATGTTGCAAAATATGCTACTAAACCAAGTTGTGCAGTTTTCTTGTGTAAGAAAGAAAAGGGCTTTCTCTCTCTTCTTCAGAATTGTACAGTTCAATTTTGGTTTTTCCTCCAAATAAAATGGAGGAAAAGGCTGGGGTTTTGGCAGAGATGCAGTGGTTCTCTCCTTGTCTTTGCACTTCTTAGTAGCATGGGCAAAGACTTGAGACTCTGGCCAGCTCTTTAGAGCATTTGTTTCGTTGAACCCAGGAATAACATTGGGCACATCTACAGGGGTGCACAGCAGGTACAGAAATCTGCTTATGAAGAAGCTGTATTGAAACACAGAGTTTGTTGTAAACCTGAAGCAAGTCTTGGTTCCATGGCTGTCACTGAAGAAGCCACTGGCTGCTACAAAATTTGAGGAAGCCTTCACCACAAATGCAGAGGGTGAGTTAGCATGTCTTTCTGAAAAGGTCAGTAAAGAGCCTCTGCACACATTTGTAGGCTGGAGAGAGGAGCTTAGTGGATAACTAATCCACCCTTTACAAAAACTTTTTATTCTGTAGTCGTAATTGCCAATCAGGTAACTTTGGTTAACGTTCTCCTGCAAGTCCTGACTGTAGTGAGGAGAAAGGGGAAAGCAAAAGAAATAAAGGAAGCAAAATCCTACATTAGAAAGTAAACTTGGTGCCTTCTCTTCCTCCACAGAGTTTAACTGTAGCACTTTAACACAGAATTGATTATCTGAGCAAGCATCAACACAAATTTCAAGGTGAGTGCAGCTGCATCTCATGGATGTTGATAAAAACACTCAAGGGATAAACTGATGTTCCAGGCAAGACTATCAAAGAATTTATTCTAATTTGCTCTATTTTCATTAATTATTATAAGTCCTTCATTTAACTACAGTCAAACGTGAGCCTTTTGGCTAAATACACGCAAAAATCCATCTCATTTTTAAAACATATTTTTTTCTTATAAAGCCCAAGTTGCAGATGTCTTTTTGTTTGCAACTTCTGCAATACAGCTCTACAGTACTTGAGAAAAATAAAATGAGTTTTTGATGGAAGACGCGGCCAACCATTTAGGGGAGCTTACTGAGCAGTAGAACATCGCAAATGGCCATAAATATTCAAATCCCAAAGCAAGATATTTGCAGGCTTCTATATTTCAATAAAATGATTAAAATGAATGCCTCACTATTTATAGAGAGTGGCAGCTTAACACCATAAGATATTCATATTTAATAGAGTGCTCTTGTAATGCTGCCAGTGCTTAAGAGTTAAGGAACAACTTGCTGTGATGGATGAGCTTCAGCTGGGCACAGCTTGCTGCTGACACTGACCCACAACAGCCACCTGCCAGCCATGAGGTTCTCCTGACAAGGCAGCTACCCATTGATGGGAAGAATTTTTGGCAGATATTTATTGATGTTCTTAATCACCTGACAGAGATGTCCATGGTGGTCACTTAGTAATGCTACCGGCAGCCAAAGGGCACAGTAGTAAAACCAAATTTGGGGAGAATTGGGCCTGCTCCGAGATATGCTGCAGTAATTGTGTGTGTGCCTCTGTCAACTAGCGTTTGGCTGGCTCTGTGGGGTTTTATCCCTTTTACTTCACAAAATAACCACTTACAACTTTGCCTGCAACTTTGATAGACATTCAGCAGTCCTGAAAAAATGGGGGGGCTGTTCTAGCTCCACAGAAATCTAGGTGGACCTCTAGGAATCAGTGGTGGAGGGTACAAAAAAAAAAAAACAAATCAAACCAAAACAGGTCAACTAGCAACTCAGAAATGCTTCTGCAAAGGACAGTTTAGGTCCAAGCAGTATTTGTGGTTGGTTCTTTTTCACTATAATAATCTGTTGTGAGGGGAAGCTCTGCCAGCTGCATGTTAAATTAGATGACTAACATCTGTCACATGCTCACTAAATCAAACATATATGATATGGAACCCTCTACTGAATCTAGTGGTAATTAGGATCTGTAATGAGTGTTATTCTCCTTTCAACTAATATAAGCGGGGTAGACTTTTTCAGTAATATCTAAGTGACTGAGGAACTTACATCTGCTTTTCCAAAAGCAGCTTAGAGACAGAGAAGCATTTCATGGGATTGAAATGTCGTGCAAACAGCAGTAGCAGTGACTAATTTTTAAACTGGGACACAGGCCTGGCTGCACTGGAACTGTTGACTGGCTTAAGTCTGTTAATTCTTCTATAGAGAGTTTGGTTATCAGTGGGGTAATGTGATGGGATTACTTTGGCTTTCAGTCCTTTTTTCTGGCTTGCTCTCTCCCCTCAAACACAGATGACTATTCTGAAAGAGTACTACACTTGAAAAATGAGTCACTGTTCCAGAATCAAAGCTCCCTCTTCTCAAGAATATCCACCAAATGAACCTGCAGTACTTGAGCTTCTCACTGATCAGCTTCACTCCAAGATCCCTGTGATACATGGCATTCATTCCCTGTTGTTAGAAGGTCCTTTGGTTGCCTAAAGACAAATCTGCAAAACATGGTAAGGCTAGGTTTATTTCTTTTCATTCCTTCATTCGTCATTCCTTTTTACCCTTGGTCCTTCTTGTCTCTAGTTTTTGAATTGTGCTCTAGGATGACCCTGCTTGAGCAGGGAGGTAGGGTTAGATTTTTTGTTCTAGGCCAGCTGGAAAAGGTGCAGTTCCTTCTTGTTTGTACAAAGCAGAATTCATATTTTCTAATGCAGCATTATGCTCAAAATCACAACTGTACATGCTATAGTACTTTTTTCCCATGGATTTCCTTCCACTCAATATTGGATGCATCTTTAAAAAAATGTTTTCTGTAAAATGAAAATAGAGAGTTTTAACTCATTCCACATCATCTCCAGTGCAGACCAGACCACAGCTTGAAGCCTTGAAGAATTTGATGCAATGGGTTTACCATACATCTGCAGACATCCATTACAATCTTAATCTTTTTAGACTGCTTCAGTGACTGCCTTTTGAATTAATTCTAAGGGCCCTCATATTCAGAGAATCACAGAATGAGTCAGGTTGGAAGGAACGACAGCGGATCATCAGAAGGGACTCTTGGCCTATGGCAAATGATTTTAATGAAGCCTTTTTTAGTAGTGAGGTTTGCTCTGAGTTCTTTGTCTATGTAATAACTTTGTCTTCTAATGTGTGCAGTTCACAGGCTAACAGCAATGCCCTTTTCGGGGTGACGTGGAAGACGTATTTTTAAAACAAATCCAAATATGTAGTGAGCGAGCCCATAAAAAACAGTCTTTAGGAGAAGTAGTGGAGACAGGGCTTCTAAAAGCACAGGTGATACACAAGCTCAAGGAGCAGTTTTTAAATAATGAGAAAAAATTCTCCATTAAAGCCATTAAGGATCAATACCATCTGTGTTGGTATGGACAAGGATGCAGCTCAACAGTGAGAGACACGAATGTTTGACTTTACCGGACAGAAACTTGCCCCTGCTCCCCTGCCAAAACCCATTCCAGATCTCCCTTTTTAATACACAGCCTCCCTGTTATGGGAGCTGGGGAGAATGCATGTATTCTGGAAGTCAGAGGATTCGATCCCCACATGGTATGATTTAGACCACTTAAGCTGGAGCCAGTGAAATGAAGACAAGCTCTAAGTACAGCTGAGAGGTGAGACTGTGTTTCTTGGGAGAAGCTGGCTTCAGTGGGAAGAAAGATCCTAACTCCTGCTTAACCCCTGCAAGTAGGCATCCTGTTTGTTGCATTATGCTGATGTAAGCTGTTTCCAGGATCCTGCCACTGCTATGAATCAGGCTGCCTCCTCTGCAAATCACTGCTCTAGTCAGCAGCACCTTGTCCCTGTGCAGAATGGTTGATACCTGCTGAGTTCCTGCAGCTCCCATGTGAGTGTTTAGCAGCTCTCCCACAGTGAGGGGGACCACAGCATATGGTCTTCAAATCAGAGTGCTCTGCTGTGATTGTCTGATGAAAATAACTTCTGGTCATCCCAGGATACACACTGAGTTGAATACACATTGCACAGACTATGGGCTGCTGCTGGGCAATGAAGGAAAATACTCTTTTGCAATATGTGGAAGGGTAGAAAAACTTTGAGCTGAAACCAAGTGTTGAAGCAGAGCTGAACATGTCTTGTGCTGAGCTCACCATAGGAAGAATCGCAAAGGTGTTTCCTCCCTCTGGCTTCAGCTTTATCATTTAAGTTAATACATTTCATGAGGCTTCAGAAGCAGCAAGCAAACCCACAGAGGTAGAGCAGGGGGACACATGTGTCTGAATTTCATTGGGTATTGTGCAACATGTGGCTATTGTATAAGAGATAGCAATTGAGTTACTTGTAGAAGTATTGCAGCCTGTTTTGAGGAAAATGAGCTTTGGTTGCTGTAGTCCAAAAAGACTTTTGATAATAAGGATCACTGAGTCTCAGTTTAAGCCAGGCATCCCATCAGATCTAGTGTTTCCATTTAGAAATAAATGCCAGAAAAATCCTGATGTGTTATATTTCGAATGCAAAGGACATGTCTCCGTTCAAAGGAACCATAGCTACAGTGTTGATTTGATCTACCAGCATTAGCTGAGTATATGTTCTCTAGAAAATAGGTCACAAGAAGAAAGGCAGTTAAATTTAAAGAAAAAAAATATGAGCAGTAGTGACTAGAGAGATTAAGGTGTTCAGTAGACAAATGGCAGTCAGTGACAAGCAGCCCTCTTTCAGTTGGGCATAAATATTAATGCCTTCCACATTCATGCTAGACAGCCTTTTATTAAAACCTACTAAATAAGGAAATTACAATCTTATTTCTTAGGTTGAAGGGCTTGGAGCCTACTGTGGCTTCCTAGTAGGAAACTGTATTGGGTCTGGCTGAGTTGGAGTTCATTTCCTCACAGTAGCCCTCACAGTGCTGTGCTTTGCATTGGTAGCTAGAAGGGTGTTGATAACACACCGTGTTTTGGCTGCTACTGAGCGCAGCACCAACACTGTAACATTCCTCCCCCAGTTAAGGGCAAAATCCTGGGAGTGGACCCAAGTAGGCCAGCTGACCCAAACTGACCAAAGGGATATTCTTTTGACATCATATGACGTCGGCTCAGATATAAAAGCTAAGGCAAGGAGCAGGAAGGCAGGCATTCATTGTCTCCGATGGCTGCCTGCTGAGGAACTGTCACGTGTGCTGAAGCCCTGCTGCTCGGGAGTGGTCGACCATCGCTGCTCATGGGAAGTAGAGAATAAACCCTGCTATCTTTCACTTTGTTTCACTTTTGCACGTACAGGCTTTCGCTTTACTTTTTGCTTTAAATAAACTGCCTTATCCCAACCCATGAGTTGTTTGTTTTTTGAAGTTTTTTTCCCACCTTACTCTCTTCCCTGTCTGGCTGGGAAGGGGAGTGATAGAGCAGCTGGGTGGGCACCTGGCATCCAGCCAAGGTCAACCCACCACAGGAATATGTAAAGCTACTCTTGTAAATGGTCACTCTGGTCATTTGTGAGAGTGAGGAATTCACCGATCTATGATCTCACTTCCAAAATTTGACACATCACTTTTCAGGACAGCAGCTTATCGAATAAATATAAAATAAATGCTACCTTCGTTTCCTTGCTGCAAATATTTGTTTATTCAGTAGCTGTATTCCCCTTTCTAGCTTTCTTTCTGTACCCATTCTATGAGAATAGACAGGACTCTTGCTTGAGTCCTTCCCTTTCCTCCTGTAGTGCTAGCAACAATCTCACACCCTCATCTGCCCTAAAGTTCCTCATCCTGGCAGAAGTACAAGTACACAGATGGATCACTGTCTCCAAGTAAGATGTGGTGGGCTGCCATATTTGGGTTAGTAAGATGCTGTGAGACTTTAATCCTCCTGTGTCTCTTTGGGTTTTGTGCAAAATACAGCTGTCTGTCTTAGAAGCATCCCCAAAAAGATTCTGCTCATCTTCCCAAAATGTGTTAGACGTGCTTTGGGCATAGCAAACACTTCTAGCTGGGAGAGAAAGACAGCAACTACCGTTTAAAAAGGAAAGCTCTGTTTTCACCTGAGGTGAGGGTCTGGGACTTCAGGGGAAGGCCTGTGGACTGTGGAATACAGGAGGCAAGAGGATGTGATCTAAATTCCTCTGTGTCATGGTGGCCTGTGATTGCAGGGAGCTGATTTTTATGATCTCAGTGGTTAGAATCACTGAATCACAAAATCACAGAATATTCTGAGTTGGAAGGGACCCACAACTCTTAAGTGTATGCCCCATGTTTCTGATGGCTCTGTTCTTTGCTTTTCTGCTTATGTCTGAATTACTTGAAACGGATACTTACGTGTTGCCAAACCTGAATGGGACTTAAAAAGAGACTTGTTTTTTTAAGGACGTGGTTCCTGTGGAGTGGGGTGGTGTTACTGAGCCCTTCAGGCAGCTCTGTTAAAAAGGGTCAGTGAAGATACCTCCACTGAATGCCAAAGGAGCGTGTTACAACACATTATGTGTGCTCGGGGTGCCTCTTGCACTGCGTGCCTTCCCACTGTCCTTGGCAGTCCAGTCTGCCCCCAGTACACCTGCTTTTCTGATGCCCTTAAATAAGGGGGTAGCTGTTAAATAGTAAGAGACTCATCCTACTCACTGCAGCTGTATTTGTATTCTGTGTCTTCTGTACTTCTGTTTTCTCATTTTAATTATAATTGTCAGATAGTTTTCCTTGTAATAAGAAAGGACTTCTGTGATATTGAATTACTTCCTAACTAATACATTATTTCATCAGTTTAAGGAATATAGTTTTAAACATTTTAGGTGATATACTAAATATTGTGATTACACATTGTTCCTGTTTGCAGTTATACCCTAACAGTCACAACATGGCAATCTGGAAAGAGTCCACCATGTCATTTTTATCAGTGTAGTGCTGTTACTAGGGAAAATTTGAGTTTAGGATTGCCCTTTTCTAGTGTGATTAAAAGAATTAAATTATTCATAGAGTCCGATATAAATATTTGAGTTAAATATATGTACACAGGCATTGTGTATATTTGTGTATCTATATGTACATGTATATTTGAATATTCACCAACATATGCTGAAGAAGCTTTACACTTTAAAGGGAGATTCTGAAAATTTGGATTTAAGTACTGGGCCAGAATTAAAATCAGTTCATTTCATTAACTGTGTCCCAACCGTTGCATTTTCTTGGCTGCTTCTCATTTTGCATTTATCCCCGTGGAAGGGAGCATAACACTCAACCAATACACCTAACGTTATTTCAAATACAAGGTGTATTGAGGCATAGGCTTGATGGAATTTCTCAAAGGTATTACTTTTACTGACAGTGTTTGTGCTCTCACATGAAGCGGCAGCAGTATGAAGTAAGGTATGGAGGAGCTAGCCTGTATTTACCCAGACAAAGCTCTTCTGGCTGAGTTCAGAACCACAAAGGCCTATCAGTAGAGTTAAGAAATCTATAACATAGCTTGCCTCTGAGAATGACCTAAAAGACCCTGTGCCTCAAACCAGCTGTTCTCAGTGGATTCTCTGTCCT